ATCCATTCAGGCTCTTCTGTGCCTCACCCAAAGAAGCTACAGGGACCAGGGTTTTCTTGCTCTCCCATGAAAGCCACGGAGCTAGATCAGATACAACCGGAATAATGCCGTGGGGGTACTGGACTTGAGACTCAGTCCATGCTAATGAGAGTCAGTAGAGATCGTTTTCACTACCACGCACTGCTCTCCAGCTCAGCGACAGGGTGCAATTCCAGGGATGGATTGTGGAGTTCTCACTCTAGAACCCAGCAAAAGAGGCTGAATACGAACAAACCACCAAAAGAAACTGGTAATCAGTAGCCAGACATTCAAAGAAAATCCCTACCGGCCTCCAAGGCTCACATGCCAGCAGTGCTACTAGAGACAGAACTTTTATTATGAACATGAAAATAATTATTTTCATCTCTACTTCTGTCCAACTTAGGTTTTTAATCATCAAAAAGCTTAATCCAAAATGACCAAACAAAAATATAAATGTATAAATATACAACGTATGTACATACATTCCTTTATACAACAAACGCACCAGCAGGCTTGACAATGGCACGCAGAAGGCTCTTTCAATAGAGATAAACCTTTAAGAGCCTCTAGCTGGATCTTCTGAGTGTCCCTCGAGGGAACAATTCTACCTCAGGGGAAAAGGGTATTTTAGAGGCTGGTATTGGCAGCCCTGCCCCTGTTGAAGTCAATGGTACATCTCCCACGGGCATGGATGGTACAGAATAAAATCCACATATTGCAAAGGTGGGAACCTGCCTTTAGAATCTCCCTTCAGCAATTAATTTTTACCCTCATCTTATTAGGCATGGGAGGGACACAACATCACCGTGGAACAGCTACTTCTTTGGCCAACATTGTCCTCTGAAGGGAGGAAGATTGTAGAAGATTAACAAGGCACATCCAAGCATGGACACACAGTCATCTCAGCCCTAGCACACAGAGTCCTTGCCTTCTGAAAGCAGGGTCTCCAGACAGCACTTGGCTTAAGTGAAGAGGCTGTTGTGATCACTCTCCTCCCACCATCTGCCTAGATCACACTTGTCCTTCAGCCTAGAGGACAAGGAGATTTCTTCAAGAAGGTCAAGTGTTGAAGCATAAGAACACCACGCTAACCTCTCATCTTAGAATGCTGCCAGAGGGCACTGCGTCCTGACCAGTCTCCTGAGGCAGCCTGGTGAACTCTTCAAGGAATCATCAAACTAGCTCATACCCAGGGAAGGAAAAGGGATTTGTTTCTAGGCAGCTGGAGAGTGATAGGTGAAAGGGCAAGTGTAGGAACAGAGACAGGGAAGTGGAGCACCAAGACCCTGATATTTCCCATAGGCTCCTGGCCCAAAAGCACAGTCAGCTGGATGTTCCTGGAGTGACAGAAAGGGCTGAGCACCGCCAATGTCACTGCAGTGATAAAGAGTATAAGGTGCTGTTTTACTGAGGTGGAACGGGAACAAGATTGTGACACTTTTCATCTCAGGCTCTGTATTATTTCTACACAGGCCTATTTCACCTTCCGTGTCACTAGCTCTAAAGTGTTTCATTTCTATTTTTCCAAAAATTCATAAAAATGGTTTAAACCATCAGTTTGCTGGCTACTTTTCATTCTCTGGCAGCCCAGTTTAGAGGGGGAGTGATTTAGTTAAATTCAAATATCTACACTTGAGAGCAAAACCTTCCCCACTTCCCACAAGAACAGATTATTTAATGAGGGAGCCTGAAATGGCCAAGCAATCTGCAAATGCTAGTTTGACCTCTGCAGCTGCTGTGTGCACTTTTTCCATCAGCCACGAAATCTCTGCTATTGCCAAATATTTTCACAGAGGCCCCTTTTCATAGAGCACTAGCAATCAGATAAGCCTATTTGGCATCGGTGGCAGTCCCTAGCTGGGTCCATGTATTTACACCTGTGTTTGCAGGAGGGAATCTCTCCACTCCAATTTCACTCATTCTTACTCATGAAAAACTGTTGAAGTCAATCAGTGTTTTGCCTGAATAAAGGCAGAGTGGAAGTTAAACAAGGGCCTGAGGATTGCACTCTGAGGTCATGCAGGGAAGCAGGGATGTTAAATTTAGTTTAATCAACTAGTCAATCGATTTTCCATCGACTAGTCAATTAGCTGATAAGTGGGGGAGCTGCAGGGGGGTTAGCTCCTGGCCCAGAAGCTAAGCCCGCTGCAGTTCTGCCATTTAAATGTATTGGCTCTTAATACATTTAAAAGGGTGATGAGCAGTGGGAAGCATCCTGCGCAAGTCAGGAATCAGCTGGTGCTGCACTCCCCACAGACATGGTGCTGGGGGGAACTGGCTTTTAAGAGGAGGGGAAGTGACTAGTCAAGGAACTAGTTGACTATCTGATGAGCTTTTGTTTATCAGCCAATCGACAAGTCAACTAGTCACTTACATCCCTACTGGGAAGAGCAGTATTTTTTGACTGTTGAAGGGGTAATTCCTGTGAACAAAAGCTCTGTATATCAGCAGGAGAAAACAAACTATAGTGCTAGCTATAAGGACAGTCCATCGAGTCTTTCTGTATTCCAAAACCTCCAGCACAGTGGGTTTCAAACAGCTGGCAGACTCTCAGGGGACTTTTACTGCACTGAAACCAAACAGAATCAAAAGATAGCCTGGAGCAGCTGTTTGATCTTGCTGTTCAGACAGCTGGAAAATATTCTCTGACTGGAGTGGTATAAACAACATGGTTAACGCTTTTAAAGTGCACCTGTAGTCAGAAAATAATGACATTCTGGAGTTCTGTGTTTATTCCTCTCCCCTTAAGTGAGACATCAGATGTACTCAGTTTACCAGATAAAAAAGATTTTTTTTTTAAACTGCCAACAGAATTTGGGAACTGAAAACTGACCAGAGATTTGTCTGTCTCTTCCTGTACACGCTCCTCAAAAATAAAGTCTCTGCAAAGTGAATTATCGGATGTTGTTCAAAGCAATGGGAAATTCAGCATTCTAGGGCTAATGAGGGTAAAAATCTTGGACTTTCACCAGAGAAATGCACCAATAAGTGCACCACAAGACAGACACCATAAGAAATGCACCATAAGACAGACACACAAGAAGCTGATCTGTTGATTTGGGAGCGGACCATTTTGAAAGCACTGTTGAATAAGAAGGGGACCACAGTCAATTTGCTGACTGAGTGCACTGGAAAACTAGTGTCAACAATTTCTTCACTTCCACATTTACACAACAGAGTAAATGGCATGCTTGGGCAGACTCATGATCCTGACACACCCGCATAACCTCGCCCATTGCTCCCTAAACAATGTAATTTGGAGGGACACAAACCAAAACACCCACACTGAATATTAAGCAACTTTGGGAAAGTTTGACTCTAGGACTGGATTTCATGGAAGGACCTCCTAGCTTTGAGCAATCTCAAATTCTGGGTAACTTTAAGCTATGGAGCTCTGCGCAGCCAAAGCCAATCTCTAGTGCATAGAGATCATAGTTAACACAGGACCGTGGCGTGGATTCTGGGCACACCGATGCAGACTGAAAAGGTGGGAGGGACAAGTCTTTCTCTAATCCTAGAAGAGGACTCCGTCAGCCTGTGGAAGCACATAGATTCTTGCATTCTGCACTGTCCACTGGAACGTGTTAAGCAGCTGCATGCCTCCTCTTTACAGAATAAATCCATCCCATGGATAGGAGGAATGGCACAGCTGGAACTCCATGCTCTATGGAGTAGACAGGCTGATTCCAGTGTGAGGACTGGTGACTTCAATACCCCTTTTCCTACTGACCAAGTCAAACCAGTGGGAGATGAGTGGGGGGGGAGGTGTAGTTAGTACAGAGAGGTCATTCCTCTGTTTTTGCCACTCAACCAGCAGGATCTCCCCTTTGTCCTGCACCACTCACAGCGGCAAAGGAAACCTCCCTGGGACAGCCAGTGGAGCCTCCTGTTCCTCCACGCAGTCAGCTTGCCACAGCTCATTTCTTCCTACGTATCTTGGGTTTCTTCACTGGCCGGAGGTAGGGATTGTCTATTAGGCTCTCTTCTCCGTTGCGGCTGCCCGACAGGGATGCGTTTTGCTGTAGCACTGAAGCATTCTCTTTCTCAGCTCCCGAATCATCCTGCCAGGTAAAAGCAATACACGTTTCAAGTTAAGACAAGCGGAGCTGAGGGGGCCTGAATCATGCATTCTGCAGACCAGAGAGATACCGCAACCAATACCAGTAGGGATAATGCACAATAAGTAGCATTTAGGCTGATGACTCTGGTTCTCTTTTGGAACTAGATGTCTGTAAGAACAGTACAGGGGTCCTGGGAAATCCTCTGTGCTCTGAGATAGGAGTAAAAGTGCCCCTATGTATTCAGGATTTAACATTAACAGCTGCAGGGCTCTATTCTGCAAGTTGGGAGTATGGCATGTCACTTAACTTGGTGCAAAGGGCACATAAAAGGGCACCTAAATCAACACTTGGCATAGTGCCCAGGCACATCACCGATGATTCAAAGTGCAATATGGGAGGATCAGACCCCAGTTGTTTCAGAGGGTCCCAATGGAAGGAGTTCAAGTTCCTCATCCTGGGCATACCGTGCTCATGTGAAGGGGGAGGTTCTCAGTGTCTGTCTGATCATCTTGCTCAGATGAGTCCGTTTCCTCCATCTGCTGCATCTCCAGCTCAGAGGGTAGAAGAGCAGTCAGGTATGGTATTGTGAAAGGTCTGGCAGCAATCACTAGGGAAGAAGAATACAGTCAGTAACCTGAGAGCCTTGCGTCTCAATTAAATCTGCGTTATCTCTAAGCCAATAGAGATCAGAAAACACCGAAGCAAACACCGAAGCAAATATATTACTAAAAAGAAGTTCAAGAAGTGTTTTGAACCACCCCCTCCCCAACTTTCCACCATCTAGAATCAAGAAACACTGAAGCGTAACATTTTTCATTTGAGGATCTCAAAGCACTACGGTGAGATGGAGATTATCACTTTCACTCTCCAGGTGGGAAAGCTGAGGCACAGAAAACCTGATAATCCAAAGAGCTGAGCACCCTGAGCAAACTCCCACTGACTTCGCTGCTTTGTGGAACCTGGGGTTAGCTGGACAGTCCCCAGCTGATTCTGGGCTGCACATGGCACTGCCGCTTTGAAACGCCATGTGCAGTCTTGGGCTTTTCAAAGCGGCAGTGCTGCGTGGAGCCTGGGGTCAGCAGGAGGGAGTCCTCCACTGACCCCAGGCTCCATGCGGCGCTGCCGCTCTGAAGTACTGCGGGGAGCACAGAGCCAGTGGTGGAATGTGAGTCCCCCGCTGACCTCGTGCTCCCTCCAGCACTTTCACCTTTGAAGTGTAGCCAGCCCTGGGGCTGTTGCTACACTTCAAAGATGGAAGCGTCCTTATCGACTAATCGAATAGTCGATGCAAATTGCATCAACTATTCAATTAGTCAAATAATCGAAATTTTACATCCATACTTCACAGAAAGCTGCTGTGGGTCGGCACTTTTATAAATCAAGCCAGAGAGAGGAAGTGATTTACTAAAAGTTACAAAGTGAGTCTGTGACGGATCTAGGATTAGAACCCTAGAGTCCTGGCACCCCGCATCCTGAGGAGACGCCGCCTCTTATAAAAGACATACCCTGGTGCCGTGGAATCAGAAAGGAAAGCTGGTCCTTTATTTAAGGCACCATCCTGGAACACACAGATTAAATTCCATGCTCTCCCATAGACTTGTGTGTGGTCTTGGGAGGCCTGAGACTCAGTTCCCGTCTGTAAAATGGGTAAAACAGTATTTCCTTATGTCATAGGGCTGTGGTGTGGATATACACATTGAACAGTCTGTAGTACTTAGATGGGGCCACGCATGAACCTAAGCTAGATAAAGAAATCATTTATATCTAGCATCTGGCATTGGGCATGTTAGATGGTTCTTACATGGGAACGTGCTGACATCATCCTTGAAGAGACTCTGTGTCTCTCCTGTCTTTGCCATGAAGCGAGTCAGAGCTCTTTCCACATCACGCCTCTGAGATGCTGCCTTTTCCCGTAAGATCTGGTAATCTGAGACTGGCTCCCGGTACGTCTGTTGGGCAGGGAGGGAGAGAACAATGAGACATACAGCCTTAAGACTGGCAGGTACTAGCTCTGAGGGACAACCAGCGCAAGTTAAAGACACTATTGGTGAGCGGATGATACGATAAAACATAGAGCCCTTAACAAACAGAGCCCTGCAGAGCTCAGAAACCTATAGCCTAGTCAACTTCTATTACTGTGATGATTCACAATGAATGAGAAAACGGGTACCAGGCCTATACTAAAAGTGCTTAAATTGCTACCGCTACTTCCGCAAAGTCCAAAGAGACAATAACAGACACGTTTTGTCGCCTTTTCCACTTACCGGAGTTTTGATGTAAGTGTGGGGATCTGGGAACTCAGGAAAATGGCTGGGGATGTGGGATGGATGGGGTTTGTTCTGTCCAGCCGTCAGGGCTTTAGGAGTCACGGGCTGATTTGTCACAGGTGCTGCAGTTAAATAATAAAAACTAGTCAGTATTCAGCCAAATACTGCGTACCTGCACATGAGGGGGCAGGAGCATATGACCTATGAGGAGAGGCAGAGGGATTTGGGCTTATTTAGTCTGCAGAAGAGAAGAGCGAGGGGGGATTTGGTAGCGGCCTTCAGCTCCCTGAAGAGAGGTTCCAGAGAGGATGGAGAGAGGCTGTTCTCAGTGGTGACAGAATGAGGAGCAATGGTCTCAAGTTGCAGTGGGGGAGGTCTAGGTTGGATATTAGGAAAAACTATTTCTCTACGAGGGTGGTGAAGCATTAGGATGGGTTCCCTAGGGAGGTGGTGGAATCTCCATCCCTAGAGGTTTTTAAATCCCAGCTTGACAAAGCCCTGCCTGGGATGATTTAGTTGGGGTTGGTCCTGCTTCAGGCAGAGGGCTGGACTCGATGACCTCCCGAGGTTTCTTCCAGCCCTGTGACTCTAAACTGCAGCAAAATACATGAAGTATAAACAGAAACTGAGTTGCTCTCTCTCTCTAAATAGACCCTATATATAGCATAGCCAGAGACAGGCAATTTCCACTAGGCAACAGTTTCATTCTCCATTTTCAACCATGCCAAAGGACAATCATTAGTTTAAATGGACAATTAACTGCAGTCAGCCCACCATGTAAGTATGTGGGCAGCCAGCACCAGTATACCAAGAAGTTCAATGGGCAATGAGGTAACATTGCAAATATTTTGACAATTTATCATTTGTCAATTACAGAAAAACTTAATATGTAGTTTCCACTGTGCCGCAAAAGAACAGAAATTATTTGGGTGCATACATAGGAGCTGGTGGAGTGTCGAACACAAATGTATTCTCCCATTTAGTGGGAGAACCCCAAAGCTAAGATTTTAAAGTCCCCAAAATGTTAGGAAAAGACAAACACATTTACAGGCACAGAATTACTTGTGGATCCACAGGTTAGTCCGTTTTTATTGTGACTGGCATCAATTTCACCGTCTGGTTGTGGTGCACTAGTCCTACCCTGAAATGTTTAGGGTGCAAAACTTCAATGGGGATCTTTGTTATAAATGTCATTCTAAAAAATAAGTTGTGGAAATATTCTATTGCTGTCAGGGTCCATAAAATCCATCTCTTACTATATGTAGAGTCTCAACCAAACCTTACCAAATGAATCCCTTTAACGGAAATTTCCACTTATCTATATTTCTTTGAACTACTTATCTATTATTTTGCACTGTATCAAATTTACATCCTTAGTACACATCAGTTCCCTTGCTAGATGATGCCTCACATACGTGCAGTGATGACCATCCGCTGAGAGCGCTTGGCATATGCCGGGAGAGTATCCACGTTGAACCCTAAAACCCAGGAGATGGGGAAATAGAAATCACACTCAGATCAATAAAACAAGGATTGATGAATATGGATGCTTGTCCATACAGAAAACATTGCTTCTTGGCTCAATGCTGATCTCACTTAAGTCAGTAGGAATTTTGGTAGTTATAGTAAAAGCTCTGTTATCCAGCACTCAGTTAACCAGAAAGCTCAATTAATTGGCATTTCTGGTATCACCCAATACAAACCTTTCATCTAGTTCCCAGGACTAGTCTACTGGCCAGCACGTTATGCAGTTGCATATTCTGCACTCGAATGTAAACTAGGCAGAAAACAACTAGAACAAGCTGAAATCAGGGATTTATTCAAAGCAGCAGCTTCCCGGGTGCGTAACAGGGTCATTACAGATTCACCTTCTATATCTACAACGATAACTGATGGTGATAATGACAACCATGAAAGCCACTACAGTATCCTGAAGTGCCTTCTGAATCATCAAAGATTACATTGTGTTTTAATGTTAAATTAAATAGTTTGAATGTTAAAATGCAGTAATGCAAGTGTCATAGGATAACCTACTAGGTAAAGTTTTCTATATGTCTATCCCACAAGTTCTTCAAGAAACCAACCACTTTGCAGCGCACTCCTGTAACTGGATTGGTGAGTACCCAAATAGTATTTTATACTTTATTCATTTTATTGTATTCTAATTCTTTGAAAACTGGTATTCCATTGGTAAAGTATAACTCTCAGTTAACCAGAATATTCAATTATCCGACACTCTCCATTCCCCTCCAATATGCCAGATAACAGAGCTGTCGTACTTCTATGGGAACAGGACAGAACTCAGAATGATCTAAGTCTATATTTATACCTATCTGAGCATCAAAATGAGCCCTGTCCACTAAGAACTGGATTGCCCCTACTTCTGTTCTATTTTCTACATTTATTCTCTCCAGAACCCCAAAGTTTAGTAACTCTCCAGCTAAAGTCTAGATGCACAGAAATCTGAAGGAACTTAGAAACTTCTCTACCTAATGTCCTTTTTATCAAACCCCACCCCCCATTTTTCCTCTTCCTCCCCCTTATTTATTCTTGGTTCTGGACTTCCAACACTCTGGTCATCTGAAGAAGTGGGCTGTGCCCACGAAAGCTCATGATGGCATCTACATGTTTTGTTAGTCTTTAAAGTGAACCACACTATTTGTTGTTTTTTAAATTCTTCCTGTTACAGACTAACTCGGCTACCCCTCTGAAACTTTCAAAATCAAAAAAGATATAAACCACCCTCCCCACTCCACCTGCTTAAGAATCTGGCACTCTGCTTCTGTAATATACCTGACCCTGGTAAGCCCTGGAGAGCTAGGATACATACAGACATATTTCCATGCTCTCACTAGCCCCTATCTGAAAGGCAATGCTATGCTTAGTCAGAACCGAGGATGCCAAACAAGCCATGTTCTAGCACCAGCAGGAGCAAAACATCCTAGCACAGCAATACCAATTCTAATTGCAATCATAGTTAAACAACCCTCTACCCAACCCCAAGCCCACATGATGCATGCACTGGGGCTTGCTGTGAATCAATCTGACGCTCACCCATTTCAACTAAGGTAACGACAATATCTGAAAGCGTTGGCTGAGTTCTTGCTGTGTGCTCACAATATGATTTGGCGCTCCTTCCAATTTCCGACACATCTGGGAAAGAAACATCAAGCAAAACACCGACATTTGAAGCAGACGACTTACAAATTTATATCCAACTAATCCTGCTTTCAGACAATGATGAGAGCCCCGTCACTGAGATTAGAAAGGAAAGAAAAGGTCTTTGGAAATACAGAGTCTTACTGTAATTCTTTTGTTAAAAAAATGGCCTTAATGGAGACATTAAGGATTTAATGGAGACATTAAGGATCAAATAACCCGATAGTTTATGCTACATTTGTATAGCATAAACATTCATGTGCAAGCATGCAAAACTCAAAGTCTGTGAATTCTGAAAGACATATATACTAAGCAGTGAGTGCACAAATCAGAAAGTTAAGTGCACCACTGTCTGTCTTCGGTATTTCTATGGTCCCTTTTACTACAGTATCTGAGCACCTCCCAAACTTTACTGTATTTATTCTCTAAACAACCCTGTGAAGTAGAGAAGAACTATTTATCCCCATTTTATAAATGGGGAACAGAGGCAAAGAGAGACTAAGTGACTTGCTTAAGGTTAAAAAGGGATTCTGTGGCAGGGCAGGAAACCAAACTCATCTCTTAAGTACTAAGCTAGTGCCCTTGCTACTGGGACATCCTCTCTCTCTCCATAGCTACCTCGTTACACAAATTAATAAATGCAGGATATATATATATATATATATATATACACACACACACACACACACACACACACACACACTTACTTAAGACTGGAAGCCTGTTTAAAACGTTGCCCGGAATTATTTTAGAAAGAGATAATGTAAAGAAGTGATTAACACATTGGACAAACGTCTCAGACACTTCGCCAAAGAATCAATGCATACAAAACAGATATTAGACAGTATCACAAAGAAAAACCGGTTTCTTGCCATTTCAACCAGAAAGGGCATTGTCTCAACGTCTTGATTACCTGCATACTGCTTCAAAGGCATTTTAACACCGGACTTGAAAAAGAAATCTCTGAACTGTCATTCATGCTTAAATATGACATTTTAAGCTGGGGGTCTCAACAAAGATGCTAATTACCTTACCCATTACAAAGATAGCTTCCCCAATTATCACCTCTAATATCATTAGCTCACAGACATTTACCTCCCCTCCCCCCATTCTGAAATTTGATTTGTCTTTTTTAGATGTGTTCACTTTTTTTGATTATATCCCTTTGGTATATATGGTCATGCCAATTTTCTTCCACAATTTGATCTGAGGAAGTGAGTCTGGCCCACGAAAACTCATTACCTAATAAACCATCTTATTAGTCTTTAAAGTGCTACATAGTCCTGTTTTTTGTTTCAGCATTAACTACTCCAGTGATTTGTCAAGCATGTTAACATTATAGCAACATGGCTATATCATAGGTACCCATTTTTATTTCCACTGAGAATACCTGATTTTAACACCATCATATTTTATTTCAAAAACTACTCTGGCCCCTAAAATCTCTACTTTTTTAGTTGAAATAGTTGCATCTGTCATAAAGATACTTACAGCTCTGTAACATCTCTGTCAGGGTTTCCACTGCTGCCTTTTCAGCGCTCTCAAACCCAGCCTCTGTCAGCAAGGAGCTGACAACAACCTGCAAAGTTCTTCTCCGAGACAAGTAATAGTTATCTGCAGGGGTTGTTGAGTGTTTGCCTCCTGATCTCTGTAGAAACAGACCACAGGAAAAACAAAAAACAAAACAAAAACAGAGGACTATTGAAGACCAGGATGTCAACAATGGTTTTCAAGAGGTGAAAGACAATACCACTTGATTACACACATAGGTTACGTCTACACTGGCATGATTTTCCCAAAATGCTTTTAACGGAAAAGTTTTCTGTTAAAAGCATTTTCAGAAAAGCGCGTCTAGATTGGCAGGATGCTTTTCCGCAAAAGCACTTTTTGCGGAAAAGCGTCCGTGGCCAATCTAGACGCAGTTTTCTGCAAAAAAGCCCCGACTGCCATTTTCGCGATAGGGGCTTTTTTTGCGGAAACAGTACTGTGCTGTCTACACTGGCCATTTTGCGCAAAAGTCTTTCGGAAAAAGACTTTTGCCTGAACGGGAGCAGCATAGTATTTCCGGAAAAGCACTGACAATCTTACATGAGATAGTCAGTGCTTTTCCGGAAATTCAAGCGGACAGTGTAGACAGCTGGCAAGTTTTTCCGCAAAAGCAGATGATTTTGCGGAAAAACTTGCCAGTCTAGACACAGCCATAGAGTACAAAAGGATGCTATGAAAGAGTCTACTACTAGTTTGTAGAACCTCAGCTCTGCCAACATCACATAAGCCCTGACTTAAATACCCCTCCTATGCCAATGTGGCAAAAGAACAGATTGGAAAAAAGTATTAGGAAAACACACTGATTCTGCTGTAGTATCACACAAGTCACCAAATGGGATGGAAGTGGAATAAGACTCTCAGTTCTGGAACAATTCAGAGGGCTTCAGGGGCAGAACTGTGAGCAAGTTACAAGTGGAACATTAACAAGACAGTGTGGTGTAATGGTTACAGCAAGAGACAAGGTGATAGGCCTCCGCCTCTGCCTTGATTTATCAAATAGTTATTGTTTGTTTTCTCTCTCCTTCACTATTTTCTTGTCTTCTCAGATTGCAGGTTCCTTGAGCTAGAGACAAAGTGTTGTACATTAGGAAAGTACTTAGCACATTCTGGCTGCTACTGAAAGCCAAATAAATAATAGAAATGAATTAGAAGTAATGAGCAACAGCACATCCTAGCTGATCCAGCAGCAGCTGTGGGTTTGCAATGCCTCTGAAAAGCAGCCCATTCACCTCTGCATACCTCAGTTACCCTGCTTGGTAAAACAGTGATAATACAATACTGCCATAACACTTCCTGTCTCTCTAGCACCTAATCTCAGGGAGGATCTCAAAGATGAAGGAGCCTCCCTTTTGCATGGGAGCATGTGCTTACCCTGCTCGTGCACACGGGCAAAGAGAGGCACAGGGAGGGACACAGATGAGGCCTTAACTAGGGATGTGAACAACTAGTCAACTAATCGACTATCCGATAAGCAAATGCTTATCGGATAGTTGACATGCTAGTCAACTAGTCACTTCCCCTCCCTTTGCGGCACGGGGGAGGAGCAGTGCTTCAAAGTGGCAGCACCAGGGCTCCACGCAGCACTGCCTATTTGAAACACTGTGTGCAGCCCAGCGTCAGCTGGGGTCTAGACTGCTGCTTTGAAACAGTTGGATGTTAGGAAAAACGTCCTGCCTGTCAGGGTGATTAAGCACTAAAATAAATTGCCTAGGGAGGTTGTGGAATCTCCATCCCTGGGGATATTTAAGAGCAGGTTGGACAGACGCCTGTCAGGGATGGTCCAGATGGGGCTTGGTCCTGCCGTGAGGGCGGGGGACTGGACTTGACCTCTCGCGGTCCCTTCCCGTTCTAGTGTGCTGTGACTCTAGGACCGTATTCCGCCTGTACCCGGAGCACGGCGCCTGGAGCTAACCCAGGCGAGCTGGTGCCCAGGCCCCACGTGCCCCCTCCTCTGTTCCACCCCATGCCTAGCGTGGGCACCCCACCCCAGTGCCAGGCTCTGCCAGAGCAACGGGGCCCCGCCCCTGGGCTAAGCCCTGCCAGGGCACGAGATGCTCTGGGGCTCAGGGCCCCTCATACACTGTCCCTTTAAGATGCTCCCACCTGCGTGCTCCCTCAAACTCCTTCCGATTGGCAGGAATCGCCGTCAATCAGAAGCACTAAAGGCACTTCGGCCAATCCAAAGCCCACCCCAAACCCCGCCTACTCCAGCAGACCAGCCAATCAGCGCCCCGCGCTCTTCGGCCCAGTAGGCCCCGAAGCCGCTCAGCCGGGCCGCAGCCGCCTCAGCTCGTGTCGGAGAAGCCGCTTCCCCGGCCCCCTTGACCCCTGCGCTGGCCGCTCCGCAGGGAACTTATCCCCCGCGGGGTGTCCGCCGTTACCGTGCCCGAGCTGCTCGAGCCGCTGGACGCCGTGTCCGCCATCTTGAATCCATGGGCGACGACGCGCATGCGTGGCCGCGCGGGGCATTATGGGACTTGTAGTCCTGAAGAGAGGCTGGGGCAGCCTGCTCCAGGCCCGGCTCCAGGGAGAGCCCATTGGCATGGGGGTTGTGATGGGGAAGCTGGGGCTGAGCATGGACTTGCAGGAGGAGGCCTAGGGGGAGCTGCCTGCCTGAGTCTGGTTAGAGCCTGAAACAGTTCCAAGAAGAGTGAATTGCAAGGCCCAGTGACTTACAGCCAGGGTATCACTGTTAACTATTCCAGGGCTCATGGAGGGACCAGCATCAAAGTTCAGATCTGCTGCCCCGTCTCATTTGGCTGTCAACTCCGGAGTCTTAGGGGATGGAATTTGCAAGAGCATCTTTAATTTATTTTTCCTGCCCAAGCCTGGCCGGCCTCCAGAAGACAGGGCTTTGTGTGAGACTGGCCCAGCGCATGACTGAAAAATTCTTCTCTCCATTGCTTCTCCCAAGAAGCAGTTTGTCAGACTGCTGTGTCCCCAAGATCTACCCCCAAATGTGTTAAAGAGCCACTCAGTCTGTATGCTAGCCAATGGCACAAGGGCTGCCAGACAATGTTCCCTCTAATCTTTCCCATTCACGTGTGGATTTTTTCTGTCCAAGTGCAGAACAAATTTTCTGTGTGCACCGAAGCCCATAGAAACTGTGGGCACTCTGCTAATCAGCTGGGCAGCATTTGAATCTCTCCGGAGTGGCCGCACAAACACACAGCTTACAGGGAGCACTGCTGCTAGAAAGTGGTACGGTGCAAAAGATGAGGTGCCTGCCTACACAAAGAAACTATCTATTCTCCCTAACTGCAGTCCAATTGAAAGGACGCTCATGAAAAAAGAGCTCTATGCTTTTGTGAGATAAGGGGTCAATAGTTGAGTTGTCCTTCAGAGAAGGAACCTGGTATGTTAGGTTGTAAAGAACTGACATTGATGTTAGCCCTGTTAATGCCAATCCAGGACTTATTTCACCCTAGCTAATCATTTCATTTCTTTACCACTTTGGCGACCACAATACAATGTCTGAAGTTTACTCAGAACCCTTCATCTTAAAGGATGCAAATGCAATTGCAAACTTAGATACAGGGATCTCCTCACCCATCACTGAAATTCAACCGCTGCAGGGCTGGGACCTGTCTGGACACTGTATCCAGTTGAAATTGCAGGGGGGGAATTATGGTACTGTAGATAAGAGCATTATTACTTGAATTTGGAATTTCCCCATGCCACCCTGTCATTATGAAAAGTGCTATGGGGTATGATGGCTATTTAGAGTCAAGACCTAAGTCTCTGCCAAAAATACAATGCTTCTGAGTTTGTGTCCAACAAATGGAAAATTTGAATGTACAAAAATGTCTCTTGTCAAGCTCATATGAAAACCTAAATCACTTGGGTTGCGTGAAATATTCTTCAGGTTGTTTCTCAGTACGCAGTGCTTCTTGAGCAAGCTTCAATTTCCCTTTTAGGGTGTTCAGATCTTGTGATCAAATCTTTGGTGAAGTCGGTTGTGTGCTTCAGAAACTATAGAACAGGAAGCCCCCCTCCTACAGCTCCCACCTCTTGTTTCCTGTGTAACTACATATGCGTGGGGAGAGAAAGCATCTTAGGAACCAATAACCATGTTGCAAAAAAAGAAATGTAAACAACAGCTGCCACGCTGGAAATTAAAGGTCCTGATCTCGGTCAATTCAGATTGCAATGCAGCTTCCACGTAGCGCTGTTTTTTTCAGCAGCGATGGTAGCGAAAACAGCAACCCATGGAAAAAGAAGGGGGTGGAGGAGAGGAGAGACTGGATTGTTGAAAGGAAATGTGCCCCGTGAAGCTAATTTATTCATCATCAACAAAGGTAGGAGGCAATTTAGTTGTATTTTCATGGTAAATTGTAGATTGAAAAGGTGAAAGAGAAAGAGAGAGAGATCATGTCATAAGCAACAAAGGAAGAGGAAAAATTAGTTCCCAAGAGGTTGGTTGAACATAAGAATCTTGAAGACACTTCAGAGTAGGTGCTTTAGAGGGAGTGATTGTTTATTGGAAGTAGATCTTAGTGCCGGGTTCATTGTGTGTGTGTATATATATAGCCACTTGTTGTGCAGTACCCTACAAACCAGTGACACAGTAACTTCTGTAGCCCCAGGCCAGTGTGTGTTTTTTTGCCAGACCTGCTGGAATGGAGGTGTAAAAGATTTTTTGCCTATTGGTGAGCTAAGAGATGTCTGTGTCTTCTTGCAAAAGACACGGTGTGATTTTCACCGATGTCGAGTTCCTGCATCTTGTAACTGGAGTTGCAGTGGCTCAGTACTTCTGAGAAGCAGGACTTGTGGGAAGAACAAGTGCTAGTGAAATCCACTGGTTAACCCTTGGCATGGATCTGATCCAGTTTGGGTGAAAAGGGGAAGGAGCGCTTCAGGTAATCAGGCTTGAAAACCTCAACTCACTGCTATTGCCTGAAGCTAAATTACGGGGCCAGACTTAGACAGCAATATTTATAAAAATAATAGCTGACTCTCAAACCAAGATGCAATATGTATGCATACCTAGTATCTACCACTAGCACTGCGCACCTGAATTCATATATGCACCTTGGCTTATGTGATTCTTAACATGGCATGTCTGAATCCATAATTGTAGCTTGACATACCCGATAGCAATTCATAACATGGAACAGCTGGTACCAGCTGCAAAGTGGCATACCTGAATCCATAGCAAGAAAGTGACACAACTCTGTGGTGCCCTGATGTTAATTCACTGCGTGTCATGTATCTGCCAAGCTTGGGATACCATGATGTGAAACCCAGGGTAGGAATGGATGTGAAATGTGAATATGGTGATGGCTGAGAGAACATATCAGCATCAAGCACCACACCAGAGCAGTGAACAGTGGTGCATTTATGCTGTGTAACTACATCAACAGTCTCTAAGTCGAGGCAAGAGAGCCTATGAAAAAGAGTTCAACTTCTCCTTACCCTTAGAGCATGAGGACCAAAAACTCAGGCATTCAACTGGAGCACTTGTGAGGGATAAGCAGGTGGTAGCACAGTACGTAGTGAGGGATTATTATCTAGTAGTTAGAGCCTAGGACATATTTCCACCTCTGTCACTCATTCACTTGGGGTGCATCTACTCTTAGATCAAAATAAGCTACGCAATTTGAGCTACACAAATTGCATAGCTTATTTCGAGTGTATTTCGAGATAGCACCAAATTATGAAATAAACTATCTACACAGCACCAAATTTCAAAGTAATCCTTGTGGAATGAGGTTTACAGGGATGTTGGAATAGCATGCCCATTATTTTGAAAGATATTTTGAAATAATGGGCATGCTGTCAAGACGTGGAATAGCTATTTTGGGATACCGGAAGTATCCCGAAATAGTGCCACAGTGTGCACGTAACCCTGGTGACTTTAGGCACGGGACTGTTGTGTATGAGCTTCACAGAATCATAGAATTATAGGGCTGGAAGAGACCTCAAGGGGTCATCAAGTCCAGCTGCCTGCCCAAAGCAGGACCAACCCCAACTAAATCATCCCAGCCAGGGCTTTGTCAAGCTGGGACTTAAACACCTCCAGGGATGGAGATTCTACCCCCTCCCTAGGGAACCCATCCCAGTGCTTCCCCACCCGCCTAGAGAAATAGTTTTTCCTAATAGCCAACCTAGACCTCCCCCACGGCAACTTGAGACCATTGCTCCTTGTTCTGCCATCTGTCACCACTGAGAACAGCCTCTCTCCATCCTCTCTGGAACCTCCCTTCAGGAAGTTGAAGGCTGCTATCAAATCCCCCCTCATTCTTCTCTTCTGCAGACTAAATAAGCCCAAATCCCTCAGCCTCTTGTCACCCAGTCCTCCAATTTGTCTAGGGCACTCCCCATTTGTGCAACTGGAAGTATGACAATATCATCTCCCCACCTGTGTTAATAACACCTGTGTGGTACAAGGTGTGATACCAACACAAAGTGTTATTATTCTTGTTGTTATTGCTATTTGTATTATTATCTCAGGCCCTGGAATGCTCTCCAATTGATCTCCTCAGGACTGGAAATGAGCCTTCCTGTTGTTTGAAATATCGAGTATTTCTGAGGGCTCTGAAAAATGGGAACTTTAGGGCTTCAGCAGACCCTGTGACACATTAATTGGCAGACTGAGCTGTGAGTCTTGTACAACAAGCAGAGAGAAGGGTTAAGGCTCTGTTTAGGTGGCGCATCACTAAAATCAGTTGTAAATGTCTTTGCCCACCCTTAGTAAGGACCCCTTTTATCTCTTTGACAAGCACAGGGGAAATCACTTCATACCTGTTTGGTTTGGGGTCCCCAACAAACTCTGTCACAAAACAAAAACAATCTCCTTTCAAAAAAAGCGGAGAAGAGAGTCTCCACTATAACATTTTTAAAATTCCATACCTATAACCCAGAGTGGCACTTGATAATCATGTCCATTGTCTCTTCCATCAAAGAATCGCCACACACTTTTCAAATATCAGTAAACAAAAAGATTTACTTGGCATTGCTCAGGTCCTTCAGGACAGGGAGTTGGAGGTGTGTGGGTACATGGGAGTTAGGATTGGGGGGTATGGAGGAGCTCAAAGCAGGGGATGGAGGGCAGAAGGTGGAGGTAGCTGATAGCTGCTCTCTGGAGTTGGCCCAGGAGTGCAGCCTAGCCACCAACTGCCCCCTAAGGTTGGTGGGGGCCATGCTGCCTGGCTGCCTGCTGCTCCCCAGGGCCAGCCTGGGGCAGTGGGGGCCAGGCTGCTGACCACCAGCTGCTCCATGGCTCTCCAAGGCTGTCGGGCAATGGGGGAGTACGTGCTTGCTTCCCCTCTATAGTAATTCCGCAGTAAAACTGTCTCCCGTGCTTGCTGCTCCCTCTTTCTGTTTGATGAGAAACAGTCGCATTCCCCACACATCCCATTGTCCTGGCCCTGCTTTACGTTATACGAGGAAGCTGCATAACACATTTGGTGGCCCTAGCTCTTACCATTTAGGAGGAGTTCTTGAACAGACAGACTCACAGACGGATGGACAGAC